CTTCGCTTCGATTTCATTTTTTTCGTCTTCTTTGTTGTTAGTAACTACGATCGTCGTCGTCGTACTAAACGATCGTCAGTATATTATATAATCATTTCTTTTTCCTTCTATTTCGTACATAAAATCTTTATGTAGATATGTATTATGGTTTAGTTCTACCGAACCATCAAACTTGATATTGAATGGAGATAGTAAAACAAACCCTTTATCCGAAATATTTATAATTTATTTATTTAGTATTCTATTCGTAATCTTCTCGGCAATGTCTATTAATCGTGTATAAAAATGTACAATTTGTTTTATGACTGTTGATGGTACTAATGGATATTTACGTCACATTCGACAGGTACATGGAAATGACCGTCAATTTTGTACGCATTGTCCATTATATGATTCAAAATTCATTTTTACTTATTTAAAATCATTTATATATCATATACGGAAACATATTTCGTATTCTTCACCTGATAAAGAAGTTTCACCATCTTTGTTACCTAGTCATGATGAAATAAATCTCAAAATTATTAATGAAAATGACGAACAAAAATCATTGCATGAGTATGAACAACGTGATCCATTAGTCGAAATTAAGAAATATTATATTAAGATGCTTTTAAAACTTCGTAAAGGTCATGTGCTTCCAGGTAATGTAATGAAGATCGTGGCATTATCTCTTACTTGTTTAATACAGACTTTTTCATATTATTTGTTATCTAAATTTAACATAGATGCTGATAATCCTACATCATCCAATTTTAATGATGATATTGAAAAAACTCTATTTGAAATATCAAGAAATGAAGAGTCATTCATTTCTTCATGTCAGTTATATTTTAAATTTGCTAAACCAAAGGAAATACAATTACGAAATGGCAATAAAGCTTACTATATTCCAATACGTGATGTCTTGATGAATTTATTTGAAAAAAAGATTTTTATGAATGTATTAAAGAAGAAAAAAAATACATATCTCAATTTAATGGACAAGATATTCTTTATCATTACCGAAATTCAGAAATAGTTCAACAACACCACCTGCTGACCAAAAAAGACAATTGCTTATTGTTACAGTTGTATTCAGATGATGTAGGTGTTGTTAATCCATTGATGGGAAAGAATGCAACTCATAAATTGACAACATTTTATTTCTCTATTGATGATTTACCAACATGCAATAATTCTTCTGTAAATGCTGTGTATTTATTATTATTATATTATAGAAAAGATTTTGAAGATGAAAATAATCGTCAATTAATATTTCGTCAATTAAAGATATGTGCTGATAATCTAGCAGGTTGTTTTTTTATTAAATACTTGATAAAAAGAAAAGAAATAATCGAAAATATGAGTTTTTTTTATTGACTATATTTTTAAAGTCTACTACATATGATAATATCTTGATACGAATTTTAGTTTTTACTATACTTATAGGCATATTGTTCAATACACACCTATTTATAATCGTTCTTCTGTCTGTCTTTAGTTTTTTGTTGTTGCTTTAACTTATGAACTCAGTGGATTTACATGTGTACTCAATTCTGGTCATTGTTGTCGTTATTGCTTTACACACTACAAAGACATGAAACATATTTACAAAGAATCTCAGACATTAATTAGTACAGCAGCATAACATGATTTACAAGTAAAGCAAATTCAAAATGTGCCTGCTGATAAATCTATATATGGTATCAATGAAGAATCCATTTTATCAAATTTATCATCATTTCATCCAATTACCAGTTTGCCTGCTGATATTATGCATGATATTCTTGAAGGAATTATTCCAAAACTCACCAGCTGTTTATTACATACAGTTGTATCTAATCGTTTATGTTCTGCTTCAAAAATTTGTCAATTAATAAATAAATTTACTTACGGAACAAATGATAGACGAAATCATCCACCAGTATTGAAGGAAAAAGATATTTTTGATAAAAGAATTCCAGGTCAGCGTAAAATTTTGTAATCGAACTTTTGAATAATATCTAACGTGATTATCATAAAAGAAGTAAGTATTATTTGTAGAATTAAGTACTATATTGCAGTGCAACACTGATTATAATGCTACATATTGTTTTAAATTTATTCATTTAGGTAAAGCAATGGAAAAATATTGTTTATTTTTAAATTTACCATTTATGTTGATCAGTTTTATTGACAAAGTTCCTTACTGGTTTTTGTATACATTACTACGACAAATATGGGATATATTATATAGTGATTATCCAAGAAGATCTTGGTTATCAACTCTTGAAGAATTAATTGAGGAATTTCTACAATTATTTCAAAATATTTTTCCTGAACAATTCATTCCAAAATTTCACTTTTTACTTCATGCTGCACGTAACATCTCTAAATATGGTCCATTAAAACGACAAATGAATTTACGTTACGAAGCTAAGCATCATTTATTAAAACAAATTGCAAATCGATGTAATAATTTCATTAATTTACC